TGGCTATACAGTCAATCCCAAAAGTTTATGCACTTTAGAAACGCATTTTTTCAAAAGAAATCAGACGTCGGAAGAACATTGCTAATAATAAACAACAACAAAAAATTTTCGATTTTTCCAAGGAGTACCCCTTCAAATTTCGCGAAATTTTCGTTTTTGGCCAATAACTCCCAAACCGTTGGATATACGGAAAAATTGTATAGGACCTTTCTTGTAGAGGACGACGAGACCTATAATTTCCATGTAACAATTTTTCGCTAGCATCAATAGTTAACGAGTAATTTGCGAAAAACTGTTTTTTCGTTTTTCGTCAATAACTCGTAAACTATTAAGACCAGCGAAAAACTTTTATATGGAAATTGTAGGTCTCGTCGTCATCTATAAGAAAGATCCTATGCAATTTTCCCGTATCTCCAAGGGTTTAGGAATTATTGAGGAAAAACGAAATTTTTTCCAAAAGTTCGCCGTTTCGACGCTGGGATGGTCGGATTTTGTCAACATCAATAAAATGCCAAATAATCATACTTAACTCATTAAATATCGAAATTAGAAGAAAAGTGCACTATTTTTAATGATAGGAAATGCGTTTTTCTAAGGTACATAAACTTTTGGGATTGACTGTATAGCCAATACATCCTTAAGTATAAGGGTTACGTTAAAGGTGCAAGAAATGAAAACTACCCTTACTATCAGAGTTTTATTCATCGGTAAATGATTCCGTGTCGTCCCTAGGCTGGATTTGTTTCATGTGATCGATAACGATAAAACCGATATCAGTGGTACACGGTTTCACCGTAAACGAGAAAGCCGATTCCAATTACAAAGCGGTGGTGAGGCGTGAGAGATAAATAACGAGGATGCGCGCATACAAATTTGTTTACATATCACAGAGAACCGGTACAATGGTCTCCCTCTGTTCCCGTATTGATTCCAATTGGCCGGGAACGCGTAGATGAACCATTCAGATGCATATAAGGACGCCTATTGAACGGGAACGTATTTTTGCCGACGCGTTTCAGCCGAATCGGTCGACTTCTTGCACCTCGTCACGGATAATTCATCCCGGACAATGGCCGAGTAATTGGCGGTTACGTGCAACGTACACGCGTAATCCTCAACGGAATTCCTTTTTTCTAACCGTGAAAATTGCTCGACGGATTTACCGATTTTATCTTTTGTCACCGTTATGCAAATCGAGAAGCATTGTCCTGACAAAAACTCGTTATCCAATGCACTAACATGATACTAGAAATTTATTTAAAAACAAGAAAGCAATAGTTTTTTTTATTCCATTGCATTTTGGACGTTGAATCTTCATATGTCTTCAATCTTCAATTATTTTATTTACATTTAATAAAAAACTTATAATCTAGATAGTGAAGTCACATGTTTCATCTACTCTGCATTGCCATTGCAAATATTTCTGGATCAAGAAGTATTGCACATTAACTCGCATTATCAATTACAATCGTAAGGAAGCTATGAAACCGGCCTTCGATCTCGTTGAATAATTCATGCGACGGTGGTTGGTGCTTCTGGGAACATTTTCGTTGTACGCAGTACACGGTAACGAGATCGTCATGCTCGTAATTGCTATGGATACACAATACTCAATGACCTTTTAAAACTCGGATAGCTGTAAGCATAAGGAAACATCGATGCTAGCATAATGTCGTTTCGCGTGATGCAGCCTGATAACCATTAGAGGGGATGACGTAGCGCATTCAATTTGAAAGCTCTGGTAACATGACCATTACGAAATGCACAATGCACATCTACTCCATATACATTAATATTTATGAAATACTGTAAGATACATATCAGAATTATTGCACTTTATGTTTCATGATATATTCTATTATATCTTTCATAATTTCATGTGCTTTACAATACCAACTTATAATAATAATATCATGGAATTTTAAGTTACGTGCTTGGAAATTGTTTTACACTCAGGAACAAAACTTTTAATTGAACAAACTTTTAATATGATTATACTAATGCGTTATTAAGATTAGAGTACGTAGTACGATCTCAAAGTACGAAATACAATTATATAAAATATTATAATTAGAATATTAGGATTTATAAAAAGTTAATTATAATTAATTATAAATAATTTATTAATTTGTGTTATTGAACATTTGTGTATTGAATGTTTGAATATTTAGAGTTGATCGGAATAAAAACGTACCTGCGTTGGAACCTTTTGTAACCATAGGCGGCGGGGGGTCATCAAGTGGCCTGTGCATGGTATCTTCCGTCTGAGCAGACGCGAAGCTGCGCAAAGAAAGGGATACATACTTATTGTCTGTCTAACGAGACAGGTCATTAGGCGTGAGCGTAATTTTTCCGGCGGATCAATTTTCTAGGGACGTGACGAAGTGAGAAGCAGTCTTCCTTAATAAAGCGACAAATTGCGGGGCTAACAGGTTGCGTAATTGATGGAAACGCGGTGATCCATGTAACGAAACGCGAGTACCGTCCGATACGGTGCTCCAGTTCGCCGTTACCCTAACAACGAAACACCCTTCGCTCTTTAATTAACGTAAATCGAATGTAAATTACCGATTGACCCTCTTTTGTCACGCATTTTTACAATAAACGCTTAACCCATTATCTTAAATTACAGGAAGGACATACATGAAAATAAAGAGATGATGCATGAATAATAGAATTACTTTGTGGGAAATAAGGCGGCGTTTTAATTAATCTCAAAGTGGAATGAAACGCATTAAAAAATATAGTACAATTCATATTTGATCTATAAATAATCTTCTCCAGAAGTATTTTATATATTTTTTCCTATTCAAGTATTTGCTGTTGTTTTTTTAACGATATTACAGGCGGGGATCTTCATTCTTGTCCCCCGCGGTGGCGGGCAAATTAATTCAATGAAGAGAACCGGAAGGATCATCGATTATCAAAGGGAGGCGAATCACGGATTTTTAACGAATCCGTAGCGAAGGTCGTTAACGAAACACTCGAGGTTCCTTTCAAGTGAACGATAATTCTTCCCCTAATTCGCCGGTCACCCGTTTCTTTCCACAGATCACGGGGACGTCATCACGTTATTAAAAGTGAAATACGAAACCGTAATGATTCAAGATAAAAAGAAATGTACATTCTCTATTTTTTCCTTAATGAACTGCTTTGTTAGACGAGGAATTTAGTTCGGGTCGATATATCGCGGTTTCATTAATAACGTTCTTTTCCTGGTCCATTAAGCCTCTGTGAAAATGAGCAATGTCAGCGATAATTAATTAAATAACTCTGTTTTTCCTTAATGAACTGCTTTGTTAGACGAGGAATTTAGTTCGGGTCGATATATCGCGGTTTCATTAATAACGTTCTTTTCCTGGTCCATTAAGCCTCTGTGAAAATGAGCAATGTCAGCGATAATTAATTAAATAACTCTGTGGATGGCACAGATTGTTGTAATGTTTCAACGTCTTATAAAAAAAGTATTAATCATTTCCAGCATTTATATTAAAAATAGTTCGTACATTTTTATGGAGGAGCTATCCAATATTCAATGAAATATTTTAGTCGATTTCTATGTGGCTGGAATACAAATACATAATTCTTCCAGGCAACGAAGCAACAAAATCGGTGATGCAATCTCTGCGGCCCCGTAACCGTTGACCAGAAAATTATACCCGCGGCAAGCTAGCGCGAAACTTCCTTTATTGCCCTACCGAGATCATCGCCATTAATACAATAAATCGTTTAAAAAAGTGCAATTGAATAGGAATGATAATCATACAGTTCGATAACGCAGATAAACGTATTTGAATATTAACCCCGTAACCCATTTCACTTGTAATTTTTGTGTATCATTTGACCCTCGACGTGGCTCGAGTTTTAAAGATTTTCGTAATAAATCGCATGCAATAAGTTATAAATAAAATTGTATTATAAATCAGAAAATGTGATTTAAATCAGAATTTCTTTTATCATTATGCACTCATTTTTTATATTTTGTAATCCTTCAAATGTTACATACGGTGTTTATATTTCTGTGTACATTGAATTCTTTTATAAATGCTAACAATCATTACTGTTTCACCTAAATGTCTTATGTATGAACGTTTCACCGCCTTTCGTTACAAGAAATCGTTACTCGAAGAGGTGGCTGTTGAAATCGTTAGAAAAAGGAGAAATTGATGTCAGTAGATATCGATTTCGAGTCGTCCACATTGAGCAGCGCGCCACGTGAGACACGTGAGAGGTTTCTATGTGTGGATAACGATTGCAAATACGACCCAGAAGTAACGTGGGTGGGTGGTTTACCCTAGCCGGAAATGTACGAATCAACTTATCAAAGATTGATAAGAACAAACCGTAAGGTTATCCATTAAGGACGGTAAACCTTCCTTGTACCCTTTTTAGTGAATTTCTTGCCTCACTCGACGTACTTCTTGAAAAGTCTTAAACCTAATTATTACAAAACCTGAACTCTGATTTTCTGAACGTTTAATCCCAGTTTTTTAAACCCGTTCATGAATACACGGTTTCAGACAAGTAAAGCCTTCCATAAAATCTAAAATTTAAACGACGCCGAGAATAAAAGAGGATAATCCCCTAATAATTTTTCCTAGAATGATTTCGGAGCAGCGTTTCGGTCATTTGCATTTTCATGAGTTTTTGCTTCGAACTTGGAACCTTTCGCCTTTCGGTTCCGAGTTTCGACTAGTCGTTTCTTTGAAAAATGAATTTTCGACGTTGTTTCGAATTTCCCATGGATCTCAATGGTCAACAAGGGAGATAAAAGTTAAAAAGGATTGATCTTCGATATGTATTTGAGGAAGCTAATAAAAACGGTGAAAAGGACCGGAGATTCATTTTTTCAATTGATCTCACGTTTTTTCTTATCAATCCTTAATAAGTTAATTCATCCGCTTCTTAGGTTGTTAATCGGTAACAAACCAGGATGAATCGAATCACCGAGTTAAACCCATTAAAGTCTGTTGCCGGTAACAATTTACAGCGTTCAACCAGCGGGAAGCACAAATGAACAATTAGCTTTTGAAACTGGAACTCCGATATTTTCGCTCGGATCGGAATCCATTACGAATAATGATAACAATAAAAAGGATAGAATTTCCCGGTGGAAAACATTTCTCTTGCAAAGAACATTCTCTCTTGGCTAAGTAAACCCCATTCCATGTATTCGATTTCATCTAAAATTAATACTCCTGACGTTGCACGAACGGCTGGTGCACGAAGAACAGTAAAAATCGAATTCCCGGTCGGAATTTTCAGTTTTTCCCGCGGATAATATCATCGCCATCGACGAAGAAATGGTAGTGGTCAAAACACAAAACCATCGCGCGTTGAAAGCATCGAATAACGTTATAACGGCGCAAGATAAATTACTCTGAAAGCTCATGGAAAAGCAACAGTACATAATCAGTGAAAGCCCCCGTTTATTTCAAATAATACTTTGTGCGTTACAGTTCGTGAACAGTGAAACGTCAGACAAAAATGTACGAAGTATTAAAGGGATCGCGAATGTTCAAATTCCTATTTACCTGGATTATAAAATCGTAATTGGACTACGTTTTATGCATTTATACAGTAATTGCATTTTCAGAAAATATAAAGGGTGTAAAAGATTAAATCTACTATCCATTATTTTTATCATTTACTTTGTATAAATAGTACCTGAGATAAAAACTATAATTTTAGTTTCTTTTAGTTAAAGACGTAGTATTTCGCGTACAGTTCAAGTACCTGTTCCCTTGCTCGTCATTGGAATATCGAATCACGCGTCCCGATGCAAAATTAACCCCGCTTAAATTCGTTTGGAATCGAACGTGTCCCGCTTGCGAGATCACGGTCTCAGGACTGTAATTATGCATAAACTCGGCGGGCAGAAACGAATAAAGGCGAAGCTCCGCGAAGAGGAGGAGGAACGTTATCTGGCAGCGTGCAGATGTTTCCATGTAGATGTGTTCAACTTTAACCATCTATAGTTCCCGTCTATTAAATCGACCGTGGTTCACCCTGCGCGCCTCTCGAGTGGTTGCGTGATATTGTGCACGCGCCTCTGGAAACACTATCGCACGAGAAGAAACTTCGCGATGTCCGTTAAACGCTCCGAGCATTTAGAGTTGCAAGACGTTTTACGTAGTTTTATCGTCGAAGCAACTGTCGATGGAAAAGTTCAGCAACGAGTACATTTTTTTGTAAAGTTTTACGATTTCTGTAATTTATACAATTTTTCATTATTCACGTTCATTGAATTTTTGTTTAATTCATTATAAAGCTCGTATCGAAAATAAATGTTGATGTTGAAATTGAAATTGTTATGCTTGGTTATTATATTTGCATATATACGATATTTTAAAACTAAAGAGAAAATTTGAATCTATAGCAATGATTGCCATGAATAATGAAGCGTATGATTTGCCTGGGAATGTCATCAATATCAAAAGCGTGACTCTATTACGGTGTTAATGTTATCGATCTTCCTGTTCCTTTTGAACAATACGTTGTTATCGATATCAGTGGCACGTGCTATTCCAGCTGGTACGTGTCTGCCAGCTTATAGTACGGCTTCATGCGTTCATGACCTCTAATGACTTTACCGCTTAACCAATTCAATCATCAGAAATTTCTATTTAACTTAATAAAATTCAATGCACACAATTTTTTATCGCAATTGAGAAAAGTAGGGTAAATACCTCAGCTTCTGTTTACGTCACAATCTCCACTCACTGGCCTATTTCTCTATAATCTTAAGATAACATAACGTTATAGAAAAATACGTCAGTGAGTAGAAATTGTGACGAGAAGAGAAATTGGGACAGCCACCTTCATTTCAAATTGAGGAGAGAAAGTACACGTTTGCATTGTTTCCTTTTTCATAAAAGCAGTGAATACAGGAAAAGTGTAATAACTAGAATATAAAGCCTGCGATGAACAAGGTCTCAATTACCATTTGAAAATGTAACGAAAAGTGAAGAGAACCATTAAGTAACGTGGAAACGCGTAAAACGCGCGGACTCTGTTAATGTTGAAGAGTTTTGGGAGTCGGTCCATTAATAATTGATGATTCGAACATGGGAAATCACTCGAAGTTCCTTTGGAAAGCTTCGTTTCGTCAGAATCGTTTCTGAAGCGGTAACATGCCTCATTTCGGCAATGAAAGGGGAGGATGGGAACCTCTTACGTCACGCTGAATATACAAGTCATCCTTTGCATCAACGCTCCAATATCAAAGTTATGGAATCAGCAAATGTTCCAAGGATAGTGAAATTGCAAAAGTTTTCAATACTATTGTATTGATAGCAATCGTGTATCATTCCGGTATTAATATGAAGATTTCACATTTTCAAGGTTCCCTTGTGCAAACGTGGACACGTTTTGTTGATGTGTTTGGTTTGCTGTGACGTTTTATTTGCTGTATCAGTGATTCATTCACCGAAATCTGACGATCTCACCCTTTACTACCGATTATTTTGTTTGCTGTTAGACTTCTAAATGTGATTCCTCCCTCGATCGGAGTGATTAGAAAGTCTGTTTGAACGGTACTGGTGGTTAATTCTAGTTAAGTATTCGATGCTTAAATAGTTACATAACATTGGGATTAAATAAATATATCTACTATTCGAATGCTTAAGTTTCTCTGATTGGAAGGACTGATTTTGTGGTACATTCAATTTATTATTTAAATAATGTATATGCAATAAAAGTCTGTTAAAAAATCGTATAAAATTGCTAGTATAAAGAAGAGTATAATTTATTTTAGAAAAGGTTAAAGGACAGTCTGACGATATAATAGTTACTACTACCGTAGACGGCTGCGTGCGTGTAAACGTTTACCTTCGTGACACGCTTTTTAGCTCCAATTCGTCCCTAGGGACAGTCTTTAATCACCGTTGAAAGCGTTTACCGAAAGTGATAAATGGAGATTGTAGCAGCATGAAAAACGTCATGATTGATGTGCTGTTATCATTAACGCAAACACATTATTTATCAAGATAAATTTATCTAATAATAATCAAATATTTTCTTTATTTTCTACTTGAATTCTGCAATTCAAAAAAGTCCATATTGTAATATTTATTCACAACGAAAAACTATCCACGAATGTATCGTGCCGATGTAAAGGTCAAGACGTGACCTATCTCATCGTAGGGTGAAGAAACTCGTAGGATGTTAGAATGGACACAGATTGAACCGCGAGGCGCAATGTTCGAATTCCATTAGGATCCCACTGGAATTGTAGAAATTTCGAAAATGCTGGTCCATCTCGTTCCACACTAGCTTTAGAAATAAATTGCAAAAATTCTTAAAACTCTTGAAACGAGACAGAATGTGACAACAAGTTAACGTTTGCAAATAGGAGGAATGTTGAGATTAGCTAATTAGTGAATTTCGATTGTTTCTAACAAAACTCGGATGGATATAAATCGTAAGAAAGCATAAATATCTCGAAGCAATACGAGTGAAGTTCAGTATGATGAGTTAACATTTAACTAGAATAAATAATCATTATCTAGAACATGAAAGCTGTTTGCGTTCTACTTGTTGTTATAAATTTTGAATGTCTGGTGACAACGGTTGATAAAAGACCCGCGATGACGAGCGTGCGTACGCAGCCGTAGCGCAAGTGGTAAAGGGGGATGAGCTGGCCTCGGAATGAGTTCGCGGAAGGGGTTAGAACGCGGGGTGTGCAAGATACGAACGATTTCGAGTGATCGATCCTCGGACGAAAATAAGCCGAGGAGAGATCGTCTAGGATGGATCCAACGTGGGTCTAACCTGGTACCATAGCCTCGTTGCGCGAGCTTTCGTAACGGCCACCCTCTAATTTCTCGGGCCCACGTATTTACAGCGGCATCGGGAGCACGCGCAACAACACAGCATCCGCGCACTGCGGACACTTTCTTACGTACCCCGATTGACAGAGGATTATGCGTGTTCGTTAATGAAAGATTCATTAACGTTGAACAAGAATGCACTTGTAGGTGTTAATGATTTAAAGCCTGGATCAACCGTTTGCAGAATGATTAATGCCAATATTAGCATTAACTTATTATTAGATCTGCTACCCTATAATCCTACAAAGTTTCTTTGAACTGTACAGAGTAGATGCTCTGATTGCTCGGTTCGTGGCGTGAGTGTTTATAACAGAGGTTACGCAGCAATTAGCGCGTAATTCGCATGTACAAGAGAACTGGGTTAGATCGTAGTAACTAACAAAAGTGCGGAATGAAACGTATTCTGCATATACTTGGCATATAAGTTCGGTAGCGTTCGAGTAAAATTGTGTTAAAAACCAAATCATTGTTTATACGTAATTAGATGTACTAATATTGATTTGAATAAAGTATGATAATTTAATTCCAAATTTAACAAAACGTGAAATGCACTGTTAGGGAAGTGTGTCGATTACGAAACAGGTATTACAAGGGACTTGGCTGCATAAATGCAAACTATTTTGAATGTTAAGTCCTGATTTCACGAGAATACGATTAGAAATGATACCGATTTAGGTCGATCTTAAGACGAACATTGAACGAGCTTGCCCTTACGTAAATACAAACACTGCATCGAGTGATTCGTACTGTTTAAGTTTTAATTTCTCCAGAGAAACCAAAGTCGATGTTAAGGCATGATCAGGAATGATTGTAGATTTAGGTCGGTTCTTTGAACGCTAGACGGGAGTTGATAATTTTTTGAAATTTCGTTCACGCACGAGGAATGGAATAAATGATCCTCGGGAATCGTTGGCCGCAGCGACTCAAGGGACTCACCCTTGTCGAGGGTTTCTTTGGCCGCGTGTATGACCTTCCTCCGTCTGAGACCGTCGCCCGCGAAGACGGTCGTCATCGTGCTGGAAACGGTGCCCGTGGCAGTCTTCTCATCATCGTCACTTGTACTCGCGCACTCGCCGGAGGTGGTCGATGCACGATGCTGGTCGAGGAGATTGATCGGGGACCCCTCGCCGCCTGGCATAGTGTCCCGATTTTCAGGACCGTCGCGTCGCGTCCTTAACCGAGGACCTTTGCGCCTGAACTGAACTCGCTCCCTCTATGGAACCCTCGTCTCGCTGAACCTTCGTTTCGTTTCTCTTCCCTCTTCGCCAACCCTCTGCAGAGTTTCGCGACGCTGGCTGCCACGCGGCGCCACTGGCAACGCCCTCGCACACCCCCGCTTGATTCTTCACGCAGAAGTTGCAATTTACGCGCTCTTTCTTTTCGTTATTCGCGAATTGCAAAGTTTTTCGTTGAAGGAAAATCGTGATAAGTGAACCTGTGTTGTGGGTCGCATCAGTAATGGGAGAACACGTCGACGGTGAGCGACAGATTGCTTTTCTACATAAGTAGAATAGATTTTAGCAGAGATAAGAATTTGAAAAACAGCATGACTAGGTCAAATTGTATTCTTATCTCTATTTGTTTCACGATTTAGTTATTGCATTTGAAACAATTTAAATTCAGATTTAGTCTTGTTTTATTAAATGATTTTGCTTGAAATTCAGGTGCTATGTAAAAAAATCGATTAATTACTTACGATTTCCATAGATATTCTTTTAAATGATTTTAGCTCAATTAAGACACAACATCCCCCTTAATCTTCACTAATAACAATAACCAATAGGCTTTGCATGTATAGGACGTTCCTAAAACCCCTATAATAATCGTAGAACAATTTTATACTCGTTTCGTCATATTAATAATGATCTGGACCAGACTGTCAATATATCTTGAATTCTAACAGTATTTGAACATTGATAATTGTTTTAAAAATCATAAAATTGGTCGGACAAGAAATAGTTGAATTGACTCGTCAATGAATGACGCGAAGTTGCAGCGTGAGTTTCCCCGCGCGAAATTCATCTACGACTCAGTTCCCTTGTTTCCCCGACCCACCATCTGTGGCGAACTTTAGACGAGACTCGCGATCGATTCCCCAACCGAAACGCCATTTCTCGCTCGACTACACGCCACAATTCTCGTGCCACTTTTTCTTTCGCCCCCTTTCCCCGTCATTTTCCGCGCCACGTGACACCGCCGGAAATGCATATCTACGTACGAAGATTGGGTTAAGGGTTCTGACATTCGCACACCCCGCGAACATATCCGGAATATTCGATTCCATTCAATTTTCCTGTATCGATTCCTTTAAAAATCGCGCAGAAATACGAAGAAACAAAATTCAATTGGGAAATGTACATACATTGTTCTTGGAGAATGTACAATTCGAATACAAATAGAAACGAAGGAAAAAGATGCGTTGCGATGCATTTTCAGTAGAAGTTTAGACATTTATTACATACTGTGTATCATATTCGATCGAATACGTTTTGCCAAGAATTATATTTTGCGGGAAAACAGAAGACTGATAAAAATAGATGACAGGGAAATAAAAAATTGTATTTAAATCGATACGTCGGTCGCGTGGTGAGGAAAACCACCGCAGATATCGGAAGCCGGAACGTCCGTCGAACGGTGTTTCGCTTTTTACGGGAATGGGGTGAAAAGGTCTGGATTACTGATCCGTGACAAGGGAAATTGACTCTTTCGGCGGTGTGTCAAGGGCACGCTCTAAATTCGTGTCGTCGTTGGTAGTCTATTTCAAGGCATCGTCGAGTAGATTATTTCCTATTTCCGGGACCGAAGTGGCCATCAGCAATGACAGCGGCGGGTCGTACCCATTGGCACAGATATCGGGACTCGATTCAACGCGAGACCGTTTGATAGGACGGGAAAGCGTAGCTATTGGAAAATGATCGTAATGCGACTTCCGGCGCGCTTTGATAATTTTCTCCGACGGCTTTCACGAGCCGCGTCGGCCCTCGCGCATCGACAAACAGGCCCGGGAATCTCGAAACGCAATTCTAAACCCGGGTGAATTAATGAATACCGTGAATTAATCCCACCGATCGATTTCATCCGTCACCTCTCGAGGAACAATGACACGAGCATCGAATCGAAGTCCTTCGTAATTTAATAAATTATTAGATAGCGAATTTTTATGCGAAATAGTCAGGAATTTGTTTTATCCTTTAAAAGGAACGATTTGTATTTTATTTCTTATATTACGTTTTTCCATAAAATATCCACGGTTCAATAACGATATAATTGTTACACGAATTTATCCAGATGGAAATTCTTGATAATTAAAGGTATTAAGAACGAAGAAGACACTGCTAGAATATTATTTTATTCTGTTCATTTAACTCCGTATTTCCTCTCGGTTTTAAATAATCAGATAAACGGCTGTATTAACCATCGGTAGCGTGGGTCGTCAAATCCCTTGATAACAATTAACTTGGTGCACCCGATCGTCGTTAGGAAGTTCACGCGAAAAACAATAGCCAGGTTAATTAGAGGAGATGGAAAGCGGGCTGACGAACTCTATTGAACTTCGGTCCGAGGAGTTTGTTGGCTCAATTTAACGCGAGAACCATTCCGGGAAGTTGTCCGTATTTCCTTTTGAAAGGGGTAAGTGTGCAGAATCCACCCTCCTTCGAGTCACTTTTCAGGATACAATAAGAGAAACGTTATTCTTGCCCGCTGTTCTCGCTCCAATGATTTAATCCTTTCGGCTGCAACGACTCCTCCGCAGTCGTTTCTCCTTTGTGCATCGCGAATCGGGGTCAAATTTTCGGCCGTGACTCGAACCGCGTCTGACGTGGCGTAATTAATGAATTCTTCGATTCAAATTTTGTCCCGTTTCACTTTTTAAAGAACTGTGGACGAGTTCATAGAAAATAATATTTATTCAAATGAAAATCTTAATTAAAATCCTGGAGTGCGCGATTTTAATTAAAAAAATGGAAAAATGTTGGTTAATTATATTTAACAGATGTCATCAAGCTATTTCATCATGATTTATAAATAGTGATTGTCATCCAGTTAATACATTTTTAAGTTGAACAGCGCTTTTGCACAACTGTATAAATTATTTCGTTATCTAAAACAGACTATAAAACGAGAGCTAATCGTAACAAATTTAGACCTCAAGGTCGGCACATGGATGAATTAAAGGAGGCCGATGGAACAATTTGATTCGTAAGGAAAGAGTTGCACGCGAACAATATCAGACTAAACATTTCTTTGACGTGTTTTTATTAAAATACTTAAAACGCTTAACTTACACGTATACCCTACAGCAGCCGGCAGGTAGTAATTAAGTTAAATAGACTTAGCCATCTATCGTTTTGTTTTGTCTTAAAGACAACGCTTAGCCGGGCCTCTGTTTCCGGCTTCGAACCGAGTCGAGGGTACCCCTGTGGCACCCTTCCCTTAAACAAGCATCGCGACGTACGATCGATTCGTCTTCGACGATGCTTCACTTTTCTTATCGAATCACCCTGACTAGGGTAGTACGCTCTTATTTCAGCCCCCCTTATATTTCTTCTTGTTAATTGATGAAATTACATGCGTATACAAATTAACAAGCATAGATATAAATGAATATTAGAATGAAATTGGATTGAAGTGTATTGTATTATGATATGAAAGAAGTTATTTTGAAAGGAAAAATTTGACTGCAATAAATAAATCACGGTACGAAGGTCGCGATTAACGAGGCCCTTTATATACAATTCCTGCAATTCTTCACGTCCCAAGGAACGTTCGTATCTCTTTTATGATTCTTTCATCTGGATTGATCGTCCCTGTTGGGCCTGGTCATCACGCATCGACCTCGATAACAGATTTCCGTCATATGCGAGACCTTCGTAGTGGTTGACGTCCTTAGAACTTTTCCAAGCATAGAATCCGTAGAGTTTATCGACGCGTTGCCGTCCGGCTTGAAAGTCGCCGGAGGTTCCGTGGCCGAATTCTCAGCCGACGGACTCGTCGCGGTGTCTGAGGTCGCGCCTAAAGTCGTAGCGGTCTCCAGATCGATATTCGTCGACGATTCTGTCGTCTGCGTCGCTTCCTTGTCGTTTGCAGTCGTTCGGGTCTCTTCGAGAACCGTCTCAGTCGTCGTTCTTATCTCAGTGACGCTTGATTTTTCTACTTCGGTGCTATCGTGAACTGGTAATTCAGTACCTGGATTGATCGTAGTAAGTTCAGGACTCTCCGTGTTTCCCGTTGTTGTGTCCTCTTCCTCGGCGCTCTTCATGGTGTCGAAAATCGCTTGGACGTAGTCAGACAAGCTCTTTACACTAGTGTCCCCTTCGCTTTTCGTTACCAGTCCTGGAATCGACGTTCGGCTCGATTTCTTATTCGTTTTCACCGATTCGAACCTGGCAGCTGGCGAGTCGAACGCGGATGGATATCTCACTTCGCTCCATTTGGCTCTATGGTTCTTGGGATGAGCATGATCTTCTTCGTTCCTTCCAAATTCCGGTTTCGTCTCATTTCTTGTTTCCATTTCATTCTCTTCTGTCTTTGATTCTTTGTCACTTTGTTTCACTGCTTTCGAATCATTATTTAATTTCTTATCCTTGATTATGTACTTTTCAGAGATAGACCCGAAATTCAAGGTATTCTGATTCCATTTCTTGGTCGACTCCCAAGAGTCGATCTTCTCTTCCTTCATTTCTTGGTCTTTATTTTCATTTTCATTTGCCTTTGCAACATCTTCCGGTTTAGTCAGTTTTGAAAAGAAATCCAAGAAAGGAAATCCAGTAGTGCTCTCTTCTAATTTCTCAGTAGTCGGTGTGACAGTGGTTTCAATTTCTGTTGTCTCTGGGACGTCGTCGGGAACCGTCATAGGAGTGGTGACTGCCGGGGGCATGGTCCACGTGGTTTCCGGCGCTTCGGTTGTCGTGGTCTTCACGGGCTCGTCGTTTTTCAGTATCTCGGTCAGAAAGCTCTGCAATACAGAGTTTTCCGACGAGACTACCGGCTGCTTCGACTCGCTCGCGGGGTTGTATTTGTATTGGTCTTGGAACAGACCATTCAGGGCGGAGTTGAAGTGCTGGGATTCTGCTGTAACGAAATCGTCGACCGCTGGTCTGACTCGCACGCGGACTCTTCTCCTTCGTCCACTCTGAAACAGATTTACTATTCTTTTATCTCATTTTTTGTTGGATAATAATCTTTCTAGCTTATTTTTAGTTCCCAGGATTTTTTGTTCAAATAGAATCTATTGGAAATATTTCTTTTAGTAGACTAGTTTTCGTATTTTTTAATGCAAAAATAATATTGCTCATCCTTCCTCTTAATAAAATGCTGTCTCCACGGATATTAATATCCCTATATTCTCCCCTTAAGCATCGGCCAACATCTCACACTAATATTAAACTTCCCTTCTCCGTGCTTTTAACGATCTCCGATAATCCTCGAACCTACCCACACATCTTCGGAAAAGAAAAACCACATCAATGCTCTCTGAGAAGCAGGAAAAACACGACCCGAGCTACAGCTACAAAAAGATCACCTACACGTACTACTGCCACAATTCTCCTTCACTTTTCTTGCATAAAATACATACGTGAACACTATTTAATATCAATTAATGTTTTCGATACAATATAAATTGGCACAAGTGTATTTATGAATAAATAGATTTTTATAAAAAATAAAACATTCTTTATGTAAATTTAGAAAGTGAGATAAGAATTTCTTTTATCTATCAAAAATTAAAATATGAATTTTAATTGCCGTCTGACCGCTAGTGGAATAATAGTGACTCCCGACGGAAAAGTTCGTCACCTCTGTTATAGATTACGTTATTTGCAATTGCAAATCTTACCTTCTTCGCAATTTGAACACCGTCACTCTTTTTCAAATCGATATTCTGCTCCGTGTTTTCCCTGTCCATCAGCCAAGACTCCCGTACAATGTCCAGGTCGCTTCCGTTTCTATTCTTGGCCAACGGTACGTCGGTCGTCGCACTGTTAGCATTCATTCTCTCTGTATGATCTTGAACAGTCGTCTTCCTGCCGAATATCGTGGTGCCCATCAGCATCTCATCCTCGTCTTCGTTGCCAGTTCCGTTCGCCTTATTGTCCGAGGAGACCAACAGTGTAACGGACGATACCTCCGGCGCCGCGGTGATTATTTCCGGCGCGTTATTCTCCTCTTGGTGCCATTTCTGTTCCTTGACACCGTCCACTCGGTTCACCGCGAAACTCGGCTGGAACGAAGTCCTCGTTAATTTCGTAGACCACTGACTTTCCGCGCCGTAGATGTCCGCCGTCGTCGAATGATCCTCCTCGGATTTGAACGATTGGCTGTACTTTCGTGATGAGTCGCTAGCCAGAGGAGCTTCGTCATACTCGTCGCGTTGGATCGGCGCTGGGTAGTTGCCGAAATTCAGCACGAACTCCGATGGATACTAAAATTCCAAACATGTTTTTATGAAATCTAATCTTGACGAATTGGATTCTTATCGATGGAGATCAAAGTGCTAGCGATGTAATTAGATTTCTCAGCGTGCAGCTTATTTTATCTGTGTGAAAGCTTGTTTTTATACGATCTGGTCTCGAGGAATTAGATTCTTGTTAATAAGTTCTTTTATTTTATTGGAAGCATGTGTGACATTTTATAATCTATTCTTGAACAAATTATAATCTTGTTGATAGAGATGTTAGGCATGAAATTATGAACATACTCTTTCATTTTAAAAATCCTTTCACTCAAACTGTATAGTTTTCATGAAAATTGATACGCTGTAACGTTTGGCGCACTCCTCTTTCGAGAGGGTAAACCTCTCCGCGAGCACCGCGTACGTGAAAAGGGGTGAGTTCCCTTTAAGCGTGAGCACTATGCACCGAGAAACAGTTTAGAAGCGGAGTTAACGAAGAGGGTTTTTAAACGAGGGTTCGTGGCTAGAGTTTGCAGTCTATAGAATGAAATTCTAATCTCGAGCCTCAGACTTTCTCAAAAGTGTATTACAAAATTCATTTAAATAATTGTATTTTCTTCCGCCATATTAAATGTCATAAAGAATTATATCATAATTTTTTCTATGCAAATATCAAATGGTACTCTTAGCTAATCGTGTATAATTATTCTGATGAAAAATTCTAATACCAAAATTGAATTCCTAAACTCCTCTGAACAATTTATTTAAATAACCACATCATACTTCTCATAGAAATGCCAAATTGTTCAATTTCTGTCTAATCACGTACATCTACGTCTAATCATCGCTCGTTATCGTTCCCTCTAATCCAACTAACTACTGCCGGAAGCTGTGATCAGTGCAAGCTACTCTGTTCACCAACTCACGTTCTGACTGGAGGTTTCGTAGATCTGATGTCCCTGGTTGCGAGTTCCTTCTCCATTTAATCCAGTACTCTCATAATTATCTTCATATAAAGCTTGCTGTTGTTGCAATTGTTGTTGTTGTTCAGTCGTTTGTTGAGGACGAATTCGTGGATAATTTTCGTCTAAAGGCAGTTCGTTGTGAGCATCCACCGCGGATTCTGTGGTACTCGTGCTCACGCGTTTTCTACTAGGTCGACGGACTCTGCTTCGAATCCTGGTTTGCTTTGAATCCGTTTGTGTCTTTGGTTTCACGTATACCGAATCATCGGGATACACGGTGGCAACAGGTATTCTTTCGGTTGTCGTGGTGGTTTCCGGTGCGGTCGCGGGCAGTCGCGACGGCAGCCGACGGTTGGGCGCCGGCTGATACTTCTGACGATTTTTCAACAATTGTGTTTGCGAGACGCTCGATTCTACTGCGGTCTCGTCGCTCGGCAACAGTGATTGCAGCGGCAGCTGTAATTCGGTTACGGTGTTTTATTTAATCATAAAATAACCGAATCGTTTTGATGTGATTTTTATTTATACAATTCCGTTGGAATTATTCACGATTTGCTACATCATTTAGGACGTATTAAATTATTTGATAGGTGAAGGCTTACCTCTGGTGGTTGAGGCCGGTAAGTAACAGGTGCCGGATACCTGTTATCCTGTTGCGACGGCCGGAAGTTCGGTGCCCTTATGAACCCATAATCTGCATCCTCTTCCGGCGGACTCGCCGTAGTCGTTGTCGTCGTTGTCGTAGTGGCTTGTCGCTGTTGTTGAACTGGGTGGAACTTTATATAATCGTTCCCATCGGTTTGAACTTGCGAACTATGGCTTTGTGTACGCGGTCTGGACCTGACTCGTTGTCTGCTAGGTGAAGTTCGCGTGGAATCTTGGTTCACGGCGTTGAACCGGACGTATTCATCCTGAGAGCCTCGATTTCGAGTTTGTACTGAGGATTCGTGATGTACTCGGGGTCCGCCGAGGCGTCCGCGAACTCGCTGTCGGATTATTAAGGGCGTTGTGCTCGTTGGCGTCGTCTCTGGTGTTATCTAATAATTAAAGAAATAATTAAAATATTTATGATTGTCAATTAAAGAAGCATATTTCAAATAGATTTCTTCTTATCATACGAGCATTGTACTAATCCTTCTCTTTTGATTAATGTAGTGAATATATCCTAAACGAGATATAGTAGACGTTATCTGACGATTAAAGAAACAATTCCTATTCCAAATGAGAAGTTGCATAATCTAAATTATTTTGATAAATTAGAAAATGTCTCACGTCGGACAGAGGAGTCTCAGTAGTAGCCGGCAATTCAAACTCCTCTTGCTTTTCGGGGAGAGGAATAAATATCGGTTGTTCGGCACCAGACTGAATCTTCTGGCTCTCCATCCGATGCAAGTTATCCTGCCCAGTCAACGTATACTCCGGCTGTAGCTGTGGCGCATTTGCATCGTACATCGTCGAGTAACGTTGATCCTCCGTCGTCCTAAACTTCGGGTCTATCGTCGTAGGCAATTCGAATTCACCGTTTTCTACTTTCCCATCCAGTTGATAGTCTTTCGGCCTCTGGAGTCCCTGATCCAATTCCCCGCTTTGAGCTTGGTAATTAAACCCATTCACCGGACTCTTATCAAGGCCGACCTGTTCTACTGTGGACTGATCGTGATACGTGGGCCTGTACTCTTGTACGGTCTGCGGGTAGTTCTGGCTCCTCGAGTAATCCTCGGAAACTAGAGCGGTGCCGTGGTTCACGGTTACGTCACGCAGCGTCGGGTAGCTCTCGGTGGTGCTGACGGTAGTCGACGGGTAATTCTCCGGGGCGTAGCTGCTCAAGTGTTCCGGCTGACGAAGGCTCGACGACTCCGGGCTACTCGGCTGCACGAACCCTGGGGAATTGTCGACCTGAGATCCGGTCTCGTACTGCTGTGCCTGCGTGTTCTGTTGACCGTGGACCTGCTGGCATTTAAATATCCCATTTCTTATTCTGACTGTACAATAAAATTAGAAATCCTTGTTTCATTATGGATTTTTAATATGTTAAATATTTTACACTTTCATATCCTTTATGAATACATAAAATTCTGCTGTCCAATTATCATAAAATATTTCTAAAATATTTACTTGGAGACACTTTAATACATATGATATAAAAATCGTTTATGACTTCTTTTGTTCTAAATGTAATTTATTAAAATGACAGGAATGTTTTTATCAATATTTTACCTCAGATTGACTGGTTTTATCTCTGCTCCTATATTTGTTCGTTCTACTGCTCGATCTCCTATGTTCCGCGTTGTATTTCAAAGTGGTTTCCGGAATCTTAGATTTAGTCGGATCGTAAATGGATTCACGGTACTCCTCCGTAGTGGTCGTGAACCTAGATCTGGATCTGTTGTACGGTCTCCGGCTTCTGTCCACGTTTGCTCTCGTGGACGGAGCCTGAGTCGTCGTTCTTGGTCTCTGGGAACTCGTTCTAATTCTAAATTACATATATTTTCATTGAATTTAGACTGTCAATAAAAAAAATGCAATCAAATAACTGCATATTTCTGAGAAGGAACTTTAATGTTTCAAACTCTATTGCAAATGTACAATTGTTCTCAATTTTTAATTTTTTGCTAAAAAACTCTTTGTAAAATGTACTACAGTATTTTATTTGAAACGTAACAATAAATATACCTTTGTCTACTGCGTGGCCTGTAGGTGGTCGTCGGCGTCTTCTGCGTAGTCGTCGTACTCGCAGTGGTAGTAGTAGTAGTAGTAGTTGGAGTAGTAGTGCTTATTTGTTGTTTCGCGTCGTTCTTGTCAAGCAACGAGTTTACCAGGCCAGGCAGCTGGGGCGAGATCGCCGGCAATTCTGCCGGCAAACTGTACTGCGTTGGCCCAACAGGAGCTCTGACGTCGTTAACGTCGGTGACAGTGATTTCACCCTCGTAACCAGCAGTACCATATTGACTACCAGTGTCGTATCTTTGCGACTCTCTTTGCTGAGTCAACTCCTGATTAAACGAATCGTGCGGTCTGATCGTTTCTTCCTTATAATTAGCGGTTGTGACGTATGCGACGTCTTCGAACTTTTGACTCACGTCCTTGGAATTTTGAATTGGGATCTCTGTGGTTCTTGGAAAATTATCGTCGTAGAATTTCTGCTTTCTCGTGGCGGGTCTCTGATCCTCGTAATACGAGGTACTAACGACGGAAGCTGGTTTATTGTCATTGTAATACTGCTTGAACCTGAACCTGGCTCCGGCATACCCAGACGGTGTCACGGAATAAGATTGTTCGTACTTCTGAGTGCTCGGTGACTCGGGAGCATAACTCACAGTGGTTTGGGGTTCATACGAAGGGGTAGTGGAATCAGACCCGCTTTCCAAGCCGTCCAAGTACGAATTAGGTTCTATCAAAGGAGTAGGACTGGGATTAGGGTAGTCGCTGTCTTTAGGATCGTTATCCAAGGTATTCACCACCACTGATCCTATATGAGGTGCCGGGAACGGGATTTTCGAGTATCCCGCCGGTGGATCGAAGCTGAGCGGCGCCACGAAGAAAGGCAATTTGTCAACCTTCCTCTCCACTCGGTTGTGATCGATGGAGGACAAATAAGGCAGGTCGAACTTCGCGTATCCGGAAGGCGGATCGAGACTGGTTGGCCCCACGAATACCTGAGGTGTGTCAGGACCAACTGTGTCCAAAACTGCTATAGTCTTCGCGTCCTTCAAGATCTTCAACACGTCGGATACTTTAACGTTTGGTGTTCTCGAACTGGAACTACCCATGTAGACTGACAATGGTGGTTGATTAGGGGACGGAGTAGTAGTCGTTTCCCTGTAGTTTTGTTGATCTTGATACTGATTCTGTCGTTGTCTTTGCCGACCTCTGACCTTCTTCTGTTTCGGAGTCTCTGTTAAATGTTGACGATGGAACTGTTGGTGTTCTCTAATCAAGGGAAGAGCCTGAGCTTGAACTTGATTATCGGGACCAGTCAACCTGGCCTCGTTTTCTCTTTGTTTTTCCAAAGCCTGAAGCTCCAACTCCTTCTGCCTCTCTAAACTAGCCAGTCTCTCGGCTTCTCTTTGTCGGGCTTCCTCCGCTTTTCGTTTCTCCTCTTTGGCCCGAATCTCGGCCAATCTTCGCCTCTCCAGCTCTTCCAATCTCTGTTTCTCTCTAGCCTCCCGAATTCTTTCCAGTTCTCGTTGCTTAGCCAGTTCTTCCAGCTTCTCTAATTCTTTCCTCTTCTTCTCCGCTTCCCGTTGCCTCTGCAACTCTTGCTCCCTTTGCAGAGCTTCCTGTTGCAGTCGATTCTTTCTCTCCAACGCTCGTTGCTCTTCGTTCAATCTAGCGAACTCTTTTATTCGCTCTTCTTTAAGGAACTGCGCGTTCTCCTCGCGCTCCATCTGCATCTGTTGCAGAATTTGACGGGCGAACGCGTCCTGTTCGTGCAAATCGATGCCTTGATTCTCGTGGTATTGCGACTGTTGAATTTGCTGTTGACGATGAGGATATTTCCTACCGCGGCCTCGCTTCGGGTGACCCCGTTGCGCCAGCGTTTCCGCTGGCACGTACACCAATTGCACCTGCAAATTAAAAATAATTCGCTCATCTTTAATCCTGATAATCGTTCAATTGATTTTCGTTAAAGATTAATTTATAAATTTAACGATGAGCGAAGTTTGTGCACAAGTGAAAGAAATCAATTATCGATAATGCATGGATAGTTGAGAAATGAAAATTATTGTATATGTATATCAAATAAGAGGTTGACCTCTTCTTCTCCATCGTCTCCGTCCTGAGAAACCACCGGTATCTGACTCTCCTTTAACTGCTTCGCACCCGGTCTCTGATGTTCGTCGATCTGTCCCACATTTCCATGCTGCAACAGCTGGCCGGCTTTAAACTCTTGCCCCGGCAAATTAGCAAAATCCTCCGGTTTCGGTTGAGGCGGCCTGGGCGGTCGTTGCGGTAGGAAGTTCTGCGCCGGAAACACCGGCGGCAGGGCTTCTGAAGCCGGAAGCGGCGGTACCAGATCCTCCGTCGCGAGATCAGCTATCCGTGAGCCGCCCAATTCTCCAACCTGATGCAATTCCTTGTCCTCCTCCGCGTTACTGAAGCCGCTTGGCACGAACGTCTGAGACTGAAGAAACAAAGATTTCTGTTTCAAAAGGAGATCAACACTTTGTTTTGAGTTTTAGGAACGTCTGAGAATAACTGATTGATTATGTTGAAAATTATTGCATTCAACGTACTTGAAGGAGTTGCTGCTGAGCCTTCAGCTGCTGTTGCAACAGCAGCAATTTCTGTATGTTCTCTTGAGTCTTTTGAAGCTGAAGCAATTGGTCCTGGTACTGTTGTTGGAGCGCCGGCGGCAAATTGATCTGCGGAAGCTGAGGCAACTGCGTGTTTCCGCTTGCCGTCTGCTCTATATGAGTTTGCGTCGCCCTAGGATTGGCCAATGGAATCCATTCGCTGTTAGATACCTGTCGGGACCATCGCTCGGCCTTTGCGCCGAATTTCACCGACAGGATCAAACAGACGGCTATCGTTAACGTTGAACACCTACGCGCAATCTGAAATCATATAATTTCTTTGATAAGTAAGAAGGAAGAAATAGAATTGATTCGAAGCCATTGTAAGATGAAACCTGGTTATTTATCTTGGATTCAATAATGAAACCAATGAGGAATCGTGGAACGATGATTTTCCACTCGGATGGGAAGCAGGTGGGAAAAAATGTGACCGCAAATCGTCGCGGATCGGCAAGAAACTGAGGCGATTCGTGACAAGCACTTGGCCACGATTCAATTGGCGCGTCTATTAATGAAACCGCCAATACTGTTGGTAAAAAGAAGAAAACACTTTTGCGGTATTCATGAAATTTACGTAAACGCCTCTTGGTTCCATCCGAGGGAACAATTTCTAATTGGAAAAAATATTAGACCGCTGAGATAATTTTTAAACGTTAGGAGTTTTTTAATTGGTTAATTTTTTCTTATGGTTGGCTGATCTTATCGCGTTTCCGAAGTTTCTGGTTGTGGATTATGTGGAGCGCGTAGGAAACCTATCCAAGCTCGCGTTATTAAAGTTAATCAGTGAATGTAGTCGTCCTTCCAGCTGCGAAAACGCGTCACACGCGTTACAGATCTCGAGTACGTTCTCTGTAATAGGCGTAGAAAGTACTCAGCGATTAATCTCTAGTCGAATTTCAACTTAAACTCGTTTCGACTGAAATTCACTTGCGTTACAACTAACATTTGGACCTGTGCCAGTTTTTAAGGAAGTTATTACGTGATTCCATTCGAGTTAACATTACATATTAAATGCCAATGAATCTTGTTCGGGTTTATTTATTCATGTGACAATGCGATCGGAGTTTCGATTCCGATAACATGATGTTTACGGGTGCGATTCGGGAATACAAGATTGTCTTACTGTAATCTGGTTTCGACGCCCAAACGTGTTTTACGTGTTTCGCATTTTCATATCACGATCGTTTATTCACGTAACGTTTATGCAAGCGAGTCGATTTCGATTCCGCCAACCCAAATTCTCGTAACGCAACTTCTAGTTTATTCAATATATTCAGTTCTTATTAATAGATTACATAAACCAAGTATGTGTATCTTCAGAAACAAAATTATTCTATAAATACATAAAATCTGTATGTTGTTCATTAATCAATTAAATTCCATTTAATAAACTGCGGCTATCGGAAATTCAGATTATTAATAAGATTGGTTTTACTCGTGTAGATACGTTTTGTAAGTTAATGTAATTAGAATATATTTTCAGACCGTTCCACTAATTGCGGGATTATTAAAAGCTCGTCGAGGCTCGTTCGCGCGTGAGAAAACGAATTAATCGTCCCTGCAAGCGCGATCGATTCGTGCGGAGAAACAGTTTCCAGAATGAATCCGCGGCGCTAACGAACGAATTATCATCGACATCATTGTCGTTACTGCTATTGCGTGTCGGGATATCTAGAGTGCAACCGTGGCTAACGAACTGCGACGCTACGAGCACAGATGATTTCTAATACCCGTTCCAATGTTACATTCTCCAGTTTCTGAAACAGAGAGAAATACCTACTTATTTGGCGTCTCGATGATTTCCGTTTAAGCGATTTAATGCGAGATTCTTTTAACGCTTTATGAAATTGCATTCCTCTCAGGAGAAATAATAGGCAGTTTGGGTTAAGGCTAATTTCGTGTTGTTTTCAATCGTAGAAAGTTTCTATCTCTTCAATTTTTGCACGAGACATTGTTGCAATATTCTATCTTTTTCACCATCAAGCAATTTAGATTGTAATTGGACAACATGGATAACTTGATATTTCTATTTCAAACCACTTATCGTTAACCATCACTAAATGGAATAATAAGATTGCATGAACTCTCACTAAGATAACTAAAATTAACAGAATTCAATGATTATTTTGCAAATCGTTATTTGAGAACGTTGATTGCTGTCAGGATCAGAATGTGCGCATCACGGATCTCCACCCGGGTTTCCGTCACTGCAAGGATCCTTCCTTACTTACACAAGCAGCGAACGTACTACTGACATCATTCCGGTTACGTTACACGGTGGTGTACGCGATTCTCATCGCGGAAGATCGCGTGTCCGACACGGCCCGCGGTTTTTCTGCTTTCTTCGTGGTAGAAACAGGCAAACTGTGAAATTACTGTGATCCAATACGCATAACGAGCTCCGATTAAGGATGTATAGGCTATATACTTAAACAATGATAGC